CACTAAGGTCGCGTTTGGTAACATTTACATTTTTGTTTAAGTTTACAAAAATTTTATAAACTGGTTTTTGTTTATTTTAGAAAAACAGAAAATTACAAAACGCGTTTGCTTTGAACAAAATGTTTAAAAAATTTTAAAAACATAAAATAAAAAATATCTTTGTCAGGCCTAAAATATTTATATTTAATTTTTATTATTTATAAACAATGGGATCACAACATATTATAATTGAAAAAAATTTAATTTAAAAAAAATTAATTGAAAAAAATAATTGAAAAAAAAATTTAATTGGGAAAAAAAATATTTGAAAAAAATTTAATTGAAATAAAGGATTAATTGAAAAAAAAGTTAATAGACAAAAAATAAATTGAAAAAATAATTGAAAAAAAAATTATTTGAAAAAAAATTATTTGAAAATAATTGGTCATAATTTCATATAGTTGATTATTATTTGCTATTATAAATTATTATATATATATATATATAATTTAATATTAGTCTTAATTTTATAAAATAAAATTTATATATATTAAAAATTATTATTGTTTGGTGAGTGGTGTTTGGTGTGTGTGTGTGATAACATGGGTCGAGAGAGAGAAAGAGAGAGAGAGAAAAAAAAAAAAAAAAAAAAAAGAGAGAAGAGAATAGAAGAGTGAGTTTGCATTGAAAGCGTGAGTTTCAAATCACGTTTTCTCAAAAAAATTTTTAATAAATTGGTTTTTATTTATTTTTAGAAAAACATAAATTACAAACGCGTTTAGTTTGAACAAAATGTTTAAAAAAATTTAAAAACATAAAAAAAAAAATATGTTTGTTCAGGCCTAAAATTATATTGGTTTGGTGTGTGTGTGTGTGTGTGGTTTGGTGTGTGTGTGGGGGGGATGAGTGTTTGTGTGTCAGAGAGAGAGAGAGAGAGAGAGAGAGAGAGAGAAGAGAAGAGAAGAGAAGAGAAGAGTGAGTTTGCATTGAAAGCGTGATTTCAAATCACGTTTTCTCAAAAAATTTTATAAAGTGTGATTTGGAATCACGTTTTTTAAAAGAAAAAAAAAAATCTTTAAAGGCGTGATTTGTAATCACACTTTTATTATTTTACAAATTTTTCGCGGGAAGGTGCTAGGATCAGTGAAAATGTGGTTTATAATAGCGCTTTAACCTAGTTTAGAAATTCCGTCCAAACTATGCTTAATTTAGAAATTAAGTTACTAATTTGACTTAATTTGGGAAAAGCCTTTATCATTTGCTACGCTTTTTGGAGTTGATTTTTAGACGTCATTATCTTTATCCACAAACAAAGAGGAAAAGAAATTCCCTTGAGGTGGGTTTGGTTCATAAATTTAGGACTTGTCTGGGAACAGATTTTTTTAGTAATTTTTTAATTTTTTGACTAAAATATGATATAAAAAAAATTAGTATATTTCGGATGGCTTTTTGATTATTTACAAAAATATATGCAAAAAGTAGAGAGAAAATAGAATCTTTGACTTTTTGGTATAGGTTGTTGGTTTTTTAGTTTTTTTAGTAACTTTTTGACTTTTTAGCTAAAAAAGTCACTTGCCAAACGAGGCCTTAGTGTGAGATTTAGAAATACAAAAGAAAAAAAGAGATAGTTTATTTGGGAATAAGTTATTTTAGTTAATTTTTAAAGCTATTTTAATTTAGTTAATAAAATTGTATTTAGGATTATAGTTGGCTTTTTTTTTTTTTGTAGTTAATTTGATGATTGTGAGAGAAAAAATGAAATAATTATGGTTTGGATATGACATTTTATCTTATTAGTTATTTTAACATATTTTGTCTTTTTTGACTATTTTAGTCTCAAATCCAACTTTCCAAACACTCTCAAAATGTGAACGAAATACAGTTATATTTCACACACTTTTCATATATTTTTTCTCTTTCCCTTTCTAAATTCCTACTAAAATTCATGGACTAAACACAACATTAGTCTATGTTAAGGATCAAAATGAGATAACCCCAAGGGTTTGGCATAGCAAATGAGGTTTGGAATTTGGGGAGTCAGCTTCCCTGAATATCTTAGGTTGGACTCCCCTTTCTAGCAAAATTATTGGTACCACAGACTATTAAGAATAAATATGGGAAGACCAAACTTAGTTTAGTATGTACAAACTTATCTAAGATACCTACATATCCACACAAAAAAAATTAAATAAATAAATTGAGACCAATTGAGTCAACTAATAAGACATTTTAAGTTTGGCTAAAAAATTTAATGCATTTCAAACTATACTTAAATTTGACTTGTTTACTTAACGAGTCAATCTTAAACGAGTTTTTAATGAGCTGAACACGAGTAACTTAAGTTGTTATAATGCATATAAACTTATTGAGTCGAGTAGTGAGTCGTTCAAATTTAATTTTAAAACTTAAATCAGCTTGCTTGATTTCATTTTTCTAAAAGCACTTTTTAGAAAAGTCTACTTTCTTATTTTCCGCATTTTTTTTGTTTTTATTGAATTTTTTTAATATTTTAAGCAATTTTTTTACTTTTTAGACACACCTAACATAAATACACCTAAAAAGTAAAAAATTTGTAAAAAAAAACTTTTAAAAATTCACTAAATACCAAAAATACAAAAAAAATACAAGAATTTAGTACATTTTTTGTATTTTTATGTATTTATTAATTTTTAAAAATATTTTTTATATTTTTATGTATTTATTAATTTTTTAAAATATTTTTTCACAAATTTTTTACTTTTTAGATACATCTAAGTAAGGTGCATCTAAAAAAGTAAAAAAAAAATGTTTAAAATTTTAAAAATATTCGTTAAAAACAAAAAAAATACGAAAATCAAAAAACTCAATTTTCAAAAAACTTTATTTAGAAAACTCAAACCAAACATACTGAATAAGTTTAAGATTGTGTTTAAGTTTAACTTATTTATATATCGAACTACACTTATCATTTGAAAATAAATATATAACTTGGGTAATTTGTAAAATAAATATATAACTCATATAATTTCCAAATGTCAAAGGAGTAAACTACACATGAAATAAAGTATTCTCTCCCCAAAAACATAACGAAAATATGTATACTTTGCACAATGTTATTTATTTATTTATTTACTTTTTTAGTGGAGTAATGGTGCTGCATCTCAATAGTGGTGTAACTGTTTTCTCAAAAAAAAAAAAAAAAAAAAAAAAAATCGGTGTTACTGTGCATAGATGATGGGAAAATTCATTTGATTTAAATGTAAAAACATAATTACATAACATTTTAATATGTGTTAAGAAAATAAATGATGACTTATCATAATAAACAAAGTTAATTTTAAGTGTTAAATTAAGTTATCAAAACCTCTAAATCCAAGTTATAGGAGAAACTTTTTGCTATATGTGACAATATATAATTCTACAATGCACTGATCAGTTTGATAATGGAGATGCTAACTCTCTCCTAATGTTAGTTGTTAGTCAGTGTAGGATCTATGTATGATTTTTAGTGTCCAACTCTACCAATTCTAAAATCACAAAAAAATCGTCCTAGAATTTTAGAAAGTGTAATCCTTGGTGTCTCGAATTCACCTTGACTCAAATGGCTCGAATTTCTGTTCACCAGTCGCCCGGCCGGTCGTCTGGCAAAAAAACTGACAACTGCAGTTGTCACCTTGTCGACCGCAACTGTCAACTTTTTTGCCGAACAACTGGTGAACAGAAATTCCAGCCAAGGTCAAACTCAAGGTACGTAGCATTACTCTTTTAGGAATTCTTTTCACCTTTGTAGACCCACTGCTCCAGAATGCCGGTCACCAAGATCAAAGCCTTCCATGGATCACGAGCTGGAGTTTTCCAATGAAAGAAATGCAAGAACATGACCTGCAACGTGACTTGGTTTGCTCGGGTGTGGAAGGTTCAGGCTCATGGATCGGGTTAATTGAAAGCTTCTTGTGTCAAGCAACAACACAAGTGCTAAACTGTGCCAAGGCACTAAACAAGAGAGAAGAAACAGGGCAATGAACAAAGGGCAACAGAAAATCCCATATTTTTATACATTTTATTCGATTTTTAACACTTCAACATCTCTATCAAAGCACTAGTACAATCACTAAATTAACAAACGCCAGACAATTAAATTTCAACTTTATGACTTTTTGTCATGTAACACTGTATAACAAATAATTTCAACTTCTCCATTGGAGATTGTCTTGACTAATCAATTGAACCACAACACTGATCCATCATCATCTGTGAAGTCCTTCAATATGGATCACCCATCATCACCCCATCATCAATCAACAACCCCTGTAAAGTTGGTGAAGAAAGTAATAGTGGAAGGAGAGCAGCTGACAAATAAGATAGTAAAATGGATATAATCCCATATCAACATAAGTAGCACTTGAATCTAGAATTTGTAGATAGATTTTCGTATGGCAAAAAGTGAAAGAATTAGAAGTTAGATTTCACTTTTTCTTTCAAATTCAAGATCCAAACATTATTAATTTTTGGGTTGAACTTGAAGGGCCTATACGGTCCACCACGAGTTCCGTTTTAATGATCCGAACCGTTAATTTTATAAAACTCTCAATGTGTAATATTCATGAAAAAAATTAATTCTATCCAATATTCGTAACTTTTTCATTGTATTGTATTTGTCACTGAAAAAATAGACAACCGATATATTTTTGAAATAAACCATTCATTTTTTTAGAAAAAAATATTATAAAATAAAAATGTTACAATTATCAAATTAGCCTAAATTTTTTCATGAATATTATACATTGAGAGCTCTACAAAATGAACGGTTTAGATCATCAAAACGGGACTTGTGATGGGCCCTATAAACCCCTCAAGTTCTCTTGTGTTAAGATCTCAATACGAGAGAAGCCCAACCCTTAATTTTTTCCTATTGCTAAATAATGAATAACACATAATCTCACAAGCTATTGCAACTAGTGTATTAGGAATGAGAATACAGGAATTTAACTGTATTCTTCAATACTTCCAGAACATCACATACATGTTACTGGTACACCTTAAATGGACAAAATGCAATAAACATGCATCCGCTTCACACAAAATTATAAAAATGTCTACATTTGATTGCCTCTTCCCCCTTGTGAAGCGTTTACACTTGATTGATCTCGTAAAATATACAGTGCAAACAATTTTCAACCTTCTATAGTTGATGATATACCCCGTTCAGATATCGAGGTGGTCAAGGTTGATCATGCCTGAAGATTTCTGAATAAGTTCCTTCCGCACATCCACCTAAAACAGAAATTACAAAAGTAAGATCTTATTATTCACTACAACAAATTACACTTTTGGCGACTAAATTTTTAGTCGCCAAAAGTCATTTTTTGGTCGCCAAATATTTTTCCCGACTAAAATTCTTTGTCGCCCATTTGGTCGTTGATTGACTGTCGGCAAAAGAATTGGCGACTAAATTTTTTTTTAGTCGCCGAAAGTCACCAATTAGCGACTAAAAATTTAGTCGTCCAAAAATATATATTTAGTCGCAAAAAAAAAATAAATTTCATCATCAACTTTTTAGCTACCAATTTTTTAGTAGCCAAAAACGTGGCACTCTTGTTTGGCTATCAATTTTTCCAATTCTAAAATCACAAAAAAATCGTCCTAGAATTTTAGAAAGTATAATCCTTGGTGTCTCGAATTCACCTTGACTCAAATGGCTCGAATTTCTGTTCACCAGTCGCCAGGCCGGTCGTCAGGCAAAAAAGCTGACAACTGCGGTTGTCACCTTGTCGACCGCAACTGTCAACTTTTTTGCCGAACAATTGGTGAATAGAAATTCGAGCCAAGGTCAAACTCAAGATACGTAGCATTACTCTTTTAGGAATTCTTTTCACCTTTGTAGACCCGCTGCTCCAGAATGCCGGTCAACAAGATCAAAGCCGTCCATGGATCACGCGCTGGAGTTTTCCAATGAAAGAAATGCAAGAACATGACCTGCAACGTGACTTGGTTTGCCCGGGTGTGGAAGGTTCAGGCTCATGGATCGGGTTAATTGAAAGCTTCTTGTGTCAAGCAACAACACAAGTGCTAAACTGTGCCAAGGCACTAAACAAGAGAGAAGAAACAGGGCAATGAACAAAGGGCAACAGAAAATCCCATATTTTTATACATTTTATTCGATTTTTAACACTTCAACATCTCTATCAAAGCACTAGTACAATCACTAAATTAACAAACGCCAGACAATTAAATTTCAACTTTATGACTTTTTGTCATGTAACACTGTATAACAAATAATTTCAACTTCTCCATTGGAGATTGTCTTGACTAATCAATTGAACCACAACACTGATCCATCATCATCTGTGAAGTCCTTCAATATGGATCACCCATCATCAACTACATCATCAATCAACAACCCCTGTAAAGTTGGTGAAGAAAGTAATAGTGGAAGGAGAGCAGCTGACAACTAAGATAGTAAAATGGATATAATCCCATATCAACATAAGTAGCACTTGAATCTAGGATTTGTAGACAGATTTTCGTATGGCAAGGAAAAGTGAAAGAATTAGAAGTTAGATTTCACTTTTTCTTTCAAATTCAAGATCCAAACATTATTAATTTTTGGGTTGAACTTGAAGGGCCTATACAGTCCACCACGAGTTCCGTTTTAATGATCCAAAACGTTAATTTTATAAAACTCTCAATGTGTAATATTCATGAAAAAAATTAATTCTATCCAATATTCGTAACTTTTTCATTGTATTGTATTTGCCACTGAAAAAATAGACAACCGATATATTTTTGAAATAAACCATTCATTTTTTTAGAAAAAAATATTATAAAATAAAAATGTTACAATTATTAAATTAGCCTAAATTTTTTTATGAATATTATACATTGAGAGCTCTACAAAATAAACGATTCAGATCATCAAAATGGGACTTGTGATGGGCCCTATAAGCCCCTCAAGTTCTCTTATGTTAAGATCTCAATACGAGAGAAGCCCAACCCTTAATTTTTTCCTATTGCTAAATAATAAATAACACATAATCTCACAAGCTATTGCAACTAGTGTATTAGGAATGAGAATACAGAAATTTAACATGTATTCTTCAATACTTCCAGAACATCACATACATGTTACTGGTACACCTTAAATGGACAAAATGCAATAAAGATGCATCCGCTTCACACAAAATTATAAAAATGTCTACATTTGATTGCCTCTTCCCCTTTGTGAAGCGTTTACACTTGATTGACCTCGTAAAATATACAGTGCAAACAATTTTCAACCTTCTATAGTTGATGATATACCCCGTTCAGATATCGAGGTGGTCAAGGTTGATAAAAAAATATTTAGTCGCCAATTCCACAACTTTTGGCGACTAAAATTTTTTTAGTCGCCAATTTTAGTCGCCAAAGGTGCGTTTTGTTGTAGTGATTCTTTTATCTTTTTTACAAGTACAAGCACAACTAAAATCCAAAAAGGTAAATGCATATATAAACAAGATTGATTTAGCATGGCAATTGAGAAGCTTAGCTAGAATGATCACTTCTATGCAGGTTTCAGTTCGATGTGCTGGCCCTCATACAGGACCACATACCAGGCGAAAACACAAATCAAATGCCATAAGCAGCCAAAAACATGTTACAGTATGTGTGCATGAACTTGACAGAATAATCCGCTCAAGTTTTTTAAACACATTGGCAAGAATGTTCTCTGGTGATTTCCCACACAATAAAGACCCAAGTCACTCTCTTCTATATATATACATATATATATAGATTTATATACATATGTAGGTACAAGCTCCGAGCTTGCAAAATTTCTCTGTCGGAAGCCATAATACCTTAGTTGCTTCAGAATATCATGACCAACTCCAACACAAGCTATAGTGCATCTACTAACCTTTTATGGGATAGAGTTTGTTTCTTGTTTTCCTCTTGGGCTTTGGTCTCCTCTACTTTTAGGTTATACCATCCTTTTTTATTTCTAGGGATTGAAGGGCAGTGTGTAGTGACATGTAATTTGTGATATTGTTTTTTTTCTTTTTGGCTTTTTGGATGACTTTTTGTCCTTCGACTCTCTTGTAATTCATTTTTTCTCTTTAACATTATTTCTCTTTTGTTTCCATTCAATATAAATAAATAATTAATGCATCTGCTTACCCGGGCACCCATAAGAGAGGAGAAAACAACATTCGCTTCTGCTGCATCCTCAACCACTAGTTGCTTTAGCAATCTTCTCTCTGGATCAAGTGTTGTCTCCCATAATTGTAAAGGCATCATCTCTCCTAAACCTGAGTTCCATTTATTTAAACATAGAAAGTGAAAAACAAGTGGAAAGGATGGAACATGAATCTACTTCCAAAGCAAGTTCAATGAAAACAGTTGGGGATCATTAGAGGAAGGCTAAACTTAGGAATGACATAATATCTGGCATGAGTTGAATGCTCAAATTAAAAAAGCATACAGAAGGTTGTGCCGGCCACAGAAAATGTGTCCCCTCAAGCACAAGCACAGTGAACACGTGAATCACAATTTTTTTTTTTTTTTTTTTGCAATTCAAAAAATGAAAATTGGCATAAACAACCAAAATATGTTGCCACTTGAAAGAAATGAATTTGGAATCACGGACATTGCCCATGAGAAATGGAACTCCAAATTAAAAAGGGTTTCCTCTTGAATCAACCCAATACAAGAACAGACGGAAGATGTGGATTCACATCATGTCTCTGCTGTTCATGGATATTTCAAATTTTGGCATGAACCAAAAGACTCACGGAAATTATAGAGTTCTTGGAGCATACATGTGTTCCAATTGAATCAAATGACAGCTTGCTCGATAAAAAACTCTCTACACTGAATTAAAGGAAAATGGCTTCCATAAATTTGAAGTTTTATTTATTGGCATAATTGCTGGCGCACATCATCACAACATGAATAATGCTCCAATCATTGGACACAATACCATCATCACACATTCTATTTCCCAATTTTGTCTTTTTTACTGAATGAAATGAAGCTGGAGTTAAATTAAGTAATTCTCTCAGCACTATCGACACTGTGAGCTGCAATGAAAGACACATGGAAAACTAATCTAACGTTAGGCTCAAAGAGCTCTTTCTTTGTGTACGACCCTTGACACAATAGAGATTGTCTTACTTCAACTAAAATACATGCAACCCACCACATTCAGAATATGCTGATATCGATGTAGATATATGGCATCCCTACTCCATTTCCTTCTAAACATGATGTGGAGAATAAAGAATATCATACTTTTCATGTTACCTTTGAACCTCTGAATGTTATATGATGCATTTGGAGGGAACGAACTCTGTAGTCGTTTCAGATCTGCTTCGTCATAGCAATAATATGCTTGCTTTCCCCTTTCAACCTAATTATTTCAACAAAGAGAACTGAAAAAAATTATGGAAGTTACTATTCCAGAAGTCAGCTGAACCTATCAAATTTGAAGGCTGACATGGATAGGCCCATAAGGCTTACAGCCCAGAGCAAACAACCCCAAACCCATCGCTTGGGACCCATAGCACAACCCGGTTGGCAAAGCCCAGGACAGCTGGAGGCCATCTGGGCATGGAGGACCAATGGCATTCGGGCACATGGCAGGTGAAACACAGGTCACACTACAACAAAAACATACTTTAGTGGCACTACACTAGTGGCATATTTTTAGAAAATGCCACAAAAAATGATATTTAGTGGCACGTGCCACATCAGCAGACAAAGATCTGCAGAGTTATTGCCACAACACATCACCATTAATGCAGCCCATCACAGCATTTATTACGATAACACCTCCTCGTCGGAACAGAGCCCCCTCACCCTGAACAAGGTAAGCTACGACACAGGCTTTCGGCAGAACGGGGCACGTCACAAGGGACAGTGAAATGATTACCAAAGGATATAAGCAAGAATGGAAGACAAGAGGAAGGTTAAGCTTTTCTATCTCTCTCTCTCTCTCTCTCTCTCTCTCTCTCTCTCTCTCTATTTTTCCTTCTTCCTCTACTGATTTGCTCGCCGGAGGGTTCACTGGGGGACTACCCCGTTCCCCTTTGGACTTTCTTGTAGGTCATCTGGTGGAATCATCCGCCTGAATCAAGTAGCTTAAAGAGCTTGGATCAGCCCGACCCATCCACCTAAGACGAACTGCATCATCAGTAGACTGAGCACTTCAAAGCCTCAGCCAGACTGAGCACTTCAAAGCCTCGGCCAGATCGAGCACTCGAAGCTTCAGCCAGACTGAGCACTTCTAAGCCTCGGCCAGACTGAGCACTTCAAAGCCAAGCAGGACCACATTTTTAACACTTAGTCACATTTTGAAGCTTATTCACAATTCCAGGACCACGTTTTTACTCAGTTAGATTCCACAGAATTCAAGTTTTGACTTGTCAAGTTTTGATTCTAAAATGAATGCAGTCTCCCACCCCACCCAGTTTGTTTCTCCAATCTCTTCTCTACAAATTTACAATTAACCGTTTAGTTACGATTTGCAACCTACTTTTCTATCCTCATCCATGGATTCTTCATCCGTACTTATTAAACTGGAAGTACTAACCCCATTCAAATATTATGTTCTACAATTTCATAATCCATTTTTTCAATCAACCACTATCATCCTTTCAATTTTCATACAAATCCAATCTCACTCTGCAGGGAGGCATTTTTAACTTAACTTTGCACGAAATTTTTATTGCACAATTTTTATGACCAGTTTTTGTGACAAGACTTCATTCATTTTAGACAATACAGGCCAACACAATCAACTGACAACATAAACGAATTTTATTCATTTACAATGTGTACACAAGTTCATTACAATACAAAAAAAAAAAAACAAAACAAAAACAAGTACAGAGAGGGGGCTCTTCATCTATCTTGGTTATTCCTCCTCGCTGGATACAAGCTCTTCTTCTTCAATGCCCTCGTCCAGGGGGGTCTGGGCCGCATCATCTTCACCGATCATTACACTACTCAGGTCCAAGTCTGGGAACAGCTCTTCAGCCCTACGTTTGAACATCTTCCAACCGTCGTCCCAGAACTCAGCCATTTCATGCTTGTAGAAGTCTGACTGCTGGAAGCTCTCAATAACTTCTGCCTCCGTCCTACCTCCAGCAATCGTCCTTGATGGGCTCACCCCCCCAGATTCTTGCCCAGCTAGATTCCTAGCGACTGCGGCATCTACTGCCATCTGAAATTCGGGAGACCCTTTGTATTGCTCTACTGCTGCGACGCACAGATCGGGGTAGGCCGTCCTCTCAGAAGCCGCCTTTGCCCTCTCTTCGTCCAGCTCTCTCTGCAGGGCCCCCCTTTCAGCAGCCGCCGTTGCCCTTTCCTCTTCCATTCCCTTCCTCAGACCCTCCATCTCCGCCATCGCCTTCGCCTTCTCTATCTCCAACTCCCTCACAAGCTTCCCCTTCTCCTCCTCTGCTTTAACGCGTCCATCCTCCACTCCTTCAACAGATCCCCAATTCTGGCATCTGCCTCATCTTTTTGCCTGACCAGCTCCTCATTACTGCTCATGGCCTCTTCATGCCGCTCGACCGCCACGGCGCAGGCCCTTTCAGACTCCTCCAGCTTTTTCTGTTCGCCGGCCAGTTGGAACTCGAGCGACACGACCTTACGGTGTGTGTCCTCCAGCTCCAACTTGAATGCTTGGAGCTCAGCATGAGCAGTCTTCCAATCAGCACTGTCCTTCTTCAACTTGGCCAACTGGGCCTTGGCCTCCTCAGCTTTTAACTTGGCAGCTCCTGCTTTCCTTAGAAGGGCCCCTGCCAAGGTGGTTACCTCCATTTGGGCGGAACACAACCCCCTCAGCAGGTCAGCCTCATTAAATCCGGATGCCGAGCGCAGGGCTGTCTCCTCCACAATCTTCACCAAGCGGTCTGCCCCCGCCCTGGCTGGGCCTTCTTCTCCCTCCAACCTTCCAGCTACCGCGCGAGCATGATAAATAGCCGTAGCCAGACGGACCCCTCCTTCCTGGGGGGCAGGACCCTTTTGGGTCTGCTCCCTCCCGCTCGGCGCAGCCTCAGTCAACTAAGCTCTTACTTGCACTGTTGGGGCAGTCTCAATAACCTCCAGTGTTGGGGTGACCCCCACCACCTCTGGGGCATCCTTGGCCACAGGGACTTCCACCTCAGCTGGGGGCACCTTAGCCCTCTTGGCCCCAGACTCATCTGCAGCTCCCTCTGGGGCACTCCTCTTCTTCTTCAGAGCCTCTCCCTCCTTTCTGGCCTGTTCTTTTATAGGATCTACGGGGGGCGGTCTTGGCTCAAAACTGCTTAAGTCCTTCCCCCCCAGCGGCCTTGGGTGCGGTCGGATCCTCTCCCGCGCGATCGGTTGAGGCGGTCGATCTCCTCGCGCTTCCTTCAACTTCGTGGCCTTGGCAAGTATGGCCTGATCCTCTACTTCCTGAACCTCCCTTCTCGCCTCCAATTCGGCTCGGTCGAGGTCACCACCCCTCGGCTGCGGTCCCAACCTTGCCTCAAACAATGCGGACGGCTGAACAAGCTCGTCCCATTTGGCCTTCTCTCTCTCCCTCCACTCCTTCACCCTCTTCACCCTCTCTTCCGCCGCTGCCCCCAGTCTTGGCTACATCGACCTAATGGGCACCTTCTAGATAGTGCGTACTCCCCGTCCCCCATTGCCAGACACGTAGAACCACCGTGGCCGCCACCCCTTGATTGATGTCGGCAGCCCCGCCACCAATCCCCTCCCTATCACTGTCTGTAGGGTGACCCACGTCTCCTGCTACCCCGAAGCTTTATAACACGAAAAGAACTCTTCTACCGCCATGGCTTCCCCTCCATTCGCCTTGGGCCACGTGCTAGCACAGGCCAGCAGAATCTTCCATGCATTGGGCATCAATTGCCCCGGTGCTACTTCCAGACGGTTCAGTAGGTCAACCACCACTTGGGGCAGTGGCAACCTCAGCCCACCTTTTAGCGCCTCCTCGTAAAGGGAAAACTCCCCTGGCCTGGCATCAGACGGCCTTTCCCTTGACGTTGGCAGCAATAACTCCACCTCCGCTGAAATCTGGTATTTTTCCCTGATAGCCTCCAAATCTGCCGCAGTCATTGTGGATTTGTCAGCCTTTGTGTGCCAATGATCCGGCTCTACCTGGCTTATTGGCTTTGGTGCCACTATCAGGGCTGACGCCTGAAATTGTCCCACTGGTTCCCCCAACCCCACCATCCGTGTCTCCGTCCTATATCGCGCTGCCAGCTCTTCTGCATCATCGTCTCCCAGAGGGTCCACCTTCACATTCACCACTTTTTCTTGTGCCATTTCTAGGGTTTGCTTACGAATCACTTTTGACGCAGGAGCAACGAAGTTGAGAAAATGTTGCACAGGTGTGGCGTGAGCAATGAAGGAATTAACACTTGGGGATCTTGAGTTTTTGTCAAAAGGTAGGTGCAACGAATTATACCAAAAACCCACGGTTTACCCGTATTCCATGGATCCACATTAATTTTCACCCGTTTAAAAACCTTTCAAATCAACCGCCAAAACCGCCTTTTCAAAACCCCCCTCGTGACCTATCGTTTCATTTCTGCTCCAACGCTTCACTTCCCCCACGATAGTGCCATGTGTATGGCCACGATGCACTGTCTCCTCCCCTTACCCTGTCCTTTCCATTTCACATCATCACATCGCCCCCCCCATTTTTCTTTTTCTTTTTGAGCCCCGCGCCGTCCTGGTCGGCTCGCCTCACGGTCGACCCATCCCGCTCAGCCACCCTTGCGGTGTACACGCCTAACGGTCGACCCCTCCCGCTCGGCCACCCTTGCGGTCGGCATGCCTAGCAGTCGACCCCTCCCGCTTGGCCACCCTTGCGGTCGGCACGCCTAACGGTCGACCCTCTCGCTCGGCCACCCTCACGGTCAGTTTCTCCCGCTCGGCCACCCTTGCGGTCGGCATGCCTAGCGGTCGACCCCTCCCGTTCGGCCACCCTTGCGGTCGGCATGCCTAACGGTCGACCCCTTTCGCTCGGCCACCCTCACGGTCAACTTCTCCTGCTCGGCACATCTCGTGGTCGGCAAGCCTCGCGGTCGGCACGCCTAACGGTCGGCCTCTCCACTCGGTTCACACTTCTCTTCCTTATTAATATTCCCTTCGTTGGACTAAAGCTACACTCGGAAATGGGGGACTACTGACATGGATAGGCCCATAAGGCTTATAGCCCACAGCAAACAACCCCAAACCCATCGCTTGGGACCCATAGCACAACCCGGTTGGCAAAGCCCAGGACAGCTGGAGGCCATCTAGGCATGGAGGGCCAATGGCATTCGGGCACATGGTAGGTGAAACACAGGCCACATCAGCAGACAAAGATCTGCAGAGTTATTGCCACAACACATCACCATTAATGCAGCCCATCACAGCATTTATTACGACAACACCTCCCCGCCGGAACAGAGCCCCCTCACCCTGAACAAGGTAAGCTACAGCACAGGCTTTCGGCGGAACGGGGCACGTCACAAGGGACAGTGAAATGATTACCAAAGGATATAAGCAAGAATGGAAGACAAGAGGAAGGTTAAGCTTTTCTATCTCTCTCTCTCTTTCTCCATTTTTCCTTCTTCCTCTACTGATTTGCTCGCCGGAGGGTTCACTGGGGGACTACCCCGTTCCCCTTTGGACTTGCTTGCAGGTCATCTGGTGGAATCATCCACTTGAATCAAGTAGCTTAAAGAGCTTGGATCAGCCTGACCCATCCACCTAAGACGAACTGCATCATCAAAGGCAAACCTTGTACAAAGGCGGGACACCAACATAAATGTACCCTCCACCAAATAAAGCCCTCTGCAAGGAATAAAAAAACTCCATAAACCAAAGTGTAACTGATTTCCCCCAAGCAATTACAGAATACCTTTATAATTTTTACTCTTTTATGCACCAGTAAATGTAAACAAGGATTCTATCAATTATGTACCTGATATCTAAAGAAAAATGTCAATAGTAATGTTCGGATATGAGCGTCATCTACATCAGCATCAGTCAAGATTATGATTTTATGATAACGGAGAGCCTCCTTTTTAAAATCTTCTCCCTGAAACCAGGAAATTTCAGTCAATGAAATAGGTGAAACAGTTGACAAGAAATAAAATAGCATAAAATAAGTCAACCTTCACTCCAAGTCCCAGAGCTAGAATAAGATTTTGAATCTCTTCATTCTTGTACATTGCTGCCATAGTTCTAAATCGCGGTATCGGGTAACGTAACGGTATCGATCGCGGAGTATCGGTATCGGTAGTATCGACCGGTACGTATCGGGTATCGGGCGTTGCGGCTGTGAAATTTCAAAAATCATTAGCAATCTATCTAAAACTCAATTTTATGCATTTTTTGGACTCTTTTAGCCTTAATTTATCACATTTTAATCAAAATTTTGATATGTAGGGGCACTTTTTTGACTCATTTTCAACTAAATGATATATATTTATTTTAGTCTCAACCTTTTATTTGGCATATATGTTAAACTTTTAATATAAAATTGATGTGGAAATATTTGGCACTTTTTTTTTTCTGTCAATTCCTCATTCATCTTCCTTTTGTTAATCTTTTTGCCCTTATAATTATTCAAATGATCCATCATTAGTGTTCGAACTTCACCACTGACATTAACACAAGGTGCGACTTGACCTTTCATATGGGCCAAATGTTGCTTCAACCTAGTTATACCACTATTTAGCTCTTTTTTACAAAATTTACACCTAATTTTATGCCTATTATTTTCTAGTGGAATTCCAAATTTCCAACCAATATCACCACTTGGAAGTTTTCCACTAGAACTACCTCTGTGCCCCATTATAACTTTCAATTATCTACAATAACAATTTTCAATTAACAAATATTGTAATTCTAATTTAGTTAGTAATAATAATGCATTTAAGATAAAAATAAAAAATCTAAACTATTAAACATCTTTACTTAACAATTAAACCTCTTTAAAAAAATCTGACAAATTAAACCTTTATAAAAAAAATCTGATATAAAAATAATCTGAAATAAAAAGATTTGACAGATTAAAAAATCTAAAATAATAAAAAAATCTGAAATAAAAAATCTGACAGATTAAATCTCTTTAAATAATATATATAAAATATATATATTGAGCATATGTGCATTTAAAATATATATAAATACTCAAATTCATAATCCAAATCCAAACACAGCCTTCAGGAAAAACCCAATTTTTTACCAATCAACATATCCAACACGCAATTCTCTAAATGACCAAGTTAAGGATGTTTTTCAACACACCAATTTTTTTACCAAATCACAACAACCCATCAACACAAACAGCAAAAAAAAAACAAAAAAACAAAACAAAACAAAACAAAACAAAACAAAACAAAAACCATGACTTTTTTTTTTTTGATCAAGAAAAGCTGCAACTACAAAGAGTTGAGCTAAAGGCATCCAAACGGATGACTTCAACAAACAGAAAAAAAACATAGCACCACTTCTTCAGCTAAAAGAAAAAGAAAAACAGAGCATCAACAAACAGAAGAAAAACAGAGCATCACTTCTTCAGCTTTGTTTTGCTTTTCTCAACTATTTTTGCAGGTGAATTTCAGTCGTATCGGACTGTATCGGAAACAAATCGTTTACGTATCGGATTCGGGCCGATACGTGTTGGGAATCGGCCGATACGGCTGTGAAATTCATTCTCGCCGGTATACCGGTGAGTATCCGACTCGGCCCTCCCATTTTCCGGTACGAACCGGCCGGTACGGGCCGATATTTAGAACCTTGATTGCTACTTTATCCCTTCTTTCAATGTTCAAAATTTTACCCCTTAAGGGAAGAACAGCCTGCATCAAGTCACCACAATCTTTCTACGGTGATTATTTTTATACATTTCCTGAAGAATGAAGCAGTTAGGACATCTAATGACACTGCTGGAAAAAGGGGCTTTAGAGGCATTTAAAAAACGCCGCTATAGGTCCCCAAAACGCCGTCTAATCCTTTTGTGACGTTTAGCACCAAACGCCAAAGATACGGCCGTCGCTATAACTTTATGACGCTTTAGAAACGTCGCTATATGACTATAGGCACTGAAAGTTCTACTAAGAGTCACATGACATCACCATGCTATTTAGCGACGTTTTAAAACACCGTCATATCTTCCTTTTAAAAAAAATCCAACCGTTAGTGTGATATTTAGTGACATTTTTAGAAACGCCGTGATAGACTTTTTATTAATTTTTTAATTGTGTTAATTTTATGTGATTGAACTAAAAAAATACCTGTAATAAAACTGAAAAATAACACTAATATGAAGTTGCTATGTTTAAAAGCCTTCCTATTACATTAATGTACATAAAATCTTGTGAGAATGGAAGTTTATCCAACTTAACATTGCCATTCACCCACCGTCCATATCCACAAGAAATGCCCAAAACCACAGGAATTAAAACAAGCATATCATATGATCTCCACAGATACAAATTCTCAATTGAGTGTTGAAAAAATAATAAAAGTAAATTGGGAAGAAGTGCAGGAACAAATAGTTGTTTTCCCAACATGTTTACTGATTTCTCATTAAACAAACAGCAGCCAGAAAGGCCAAAAAGCATGCCATTTTAGCACTCCAAAAAAAAAAAGGAACAGGGGTCTCAATCATCCAACAACAATCTAATAGTGAAGACAATTAGAATTGTCTTAAAACACAAATTGACTCTCTCTCTCTCTCTCTCTCTCTCCTGTAGAATATAAGTTCCAGAATAGAGCAGCAAAAAAATACAAAAAATCCCTGGAAAGAACCCATTAATTCAACAAAAAAACCGGCTCCGATTATTCCCAAAATAGCAGCAAATGTCCCAACAGTAGAACAAAGTCAAAAGCAACCTGCATTCTACTTGGACGAAAAAATGTAATTATTATAGTATACTTGATATAACTGAAAGATATGCAACTTTAAAAACAGCAAGGAGGTAATAATAATATGTTATGGTGTGAAATCCTTCCAAAACCTCAAAAGCATGGAAAAGTGATGCAAATAAATGGTTTTATCCAACCAAAGTGATTCAAATAAATGGTTTCATCCAATCAAAATATATTTAATTACACACCCAAACCAGAAATCAGAATTTCAAAGTCAGAACTAGAAAAGATATAGCAAAATCCAATTCACAAACACCAAAGATGAGCCAAAATATTTTGGAGTCACTTCTCCTTTAGAATTCAAAAGTCCCTAATCTATCCTATGCACATTTTTAGAGAAAAAGAGCATTGCCAATACAAGTGAAACCCATAAACATCTAATGACACGAGGAGACATTCAGATATGGATAACTCTTTCATCCTCAATATTCATGCTTAAATATTAGTTGGAATCAACTCCACAACACCACTAATGACACCCTTCCTATACACTTTGAAAGGAGTTTGATGTAAAGTAATACACTCCCTCTCTACATTTGGCAACTTTAAATCACAAAGCTCCATCTACTATAAAAATCTGGCTAACTAAGTGGCCAACATATCTTTCTAACAATTGGATTCATAGAATAGGAACATAGCATAAATGAAAACACTACTTCCATGACTAAAGAAAGCACCAAAGAGCATGGATGTTCCATTTCTCTTCAAAACATAATATTGAGAATGCTCGTTGAATGAACAATTCAATACCAATTCAATCCGAGCTCTTATACGTTCAGTAGTGATCTTGTATATCTAAGCAACCAATAGTAGGACTATTACATTACCTGGCTCATTTTAGGACGAAGCTGAGCTAATCTTGTGAGGCAGAGCCTGGCTGCAAGACCCATTCTCTAAATTTGAGTCTCATCGACATTTCCTTCTAGATTCAGATCGAGTATGCTTCTTAGATTTCCAGTCTCTAGTTTTAATTTTGCCTGAATATAAATCTTCTAAGTTATATACACATAAACATAACTTATAAGTTGTAGGCAGTGAAACTGTGAAATTTTCATATCAAAGAAAAAGACCCTTACCCACATGACCAAGCTTTCTTGGCCCTTGTCAGCGTCAAAAGTGATCGCTTTCCTCCCCGATAACAATTCAAGAAGAACTACTCCAAAAGATTACACATCGACCTTGTCACTGACTTTGCCATACATGAAATACTCGGGAGCAAGGTACCCAAAAGTATGTATTCTGGGAATTGTCGAGGCTGAAAAAACCCATCTCAAAGCTTCCACCAGATAAAACTATGGTATTGTTGCCTGTAATCACTGCTGTTTATTCTCCAAGCATTCCAAAAATTATTTATTTTGTAATCACTATTGTTTATATAGTTATATTGACTTCACCAAAGAACATGTTGATAAGGTGTACACGATTAATATTGAAATAACTTATAACTTAAGAGAAAACATCTGAATCAGTTACGTAGGACGTCCACAATAACTTGTGAGAACAATTAACATGTACTTTTGATTGTATCCACAAGCTTCCATAATCATCTTCCCAATTTAGTAAATCCACAAAACATCACAAATGCTGTATATTCTTCTGTATCATGACTCGGAAATGGTGGGACTAACTCCACTACCTCTTTGTTTTCTACAAGGGCTGCTCACAACATTTTAATTCTCACAAAACTTTCTAGGATAATCCTTACCTTACCAGCCAAAAAAACAATGCAAGTCATCCTAAGACTGAAGTATCTTCTTGTAATCTTGAAATGTCCCAGCGAAAGGTGTCACTTTCCCTTCAGATACCGCCCACAGCTGTTCCACGCTTCCAGATATCAGATGTTCATCATGACTCACCTACAATTGAAGACATGATTAAATACTGTTGTTGCAATTGCAACAGGAAATTGAAGGAGAAGAGGCACAAAAGGCCAAATATTGAAATATTTACAATCCTGAACATCCAGTTGAACAATGAGCTGGATAATCTTCAAATCACATGATAACAAAGGATAATTTTTACCTTCCTCTAATAAGTACAAGATGAGATTTACAATATATGAAGCAAATAAAAACATGACACAAACTTACAAGATGATTCGATGGCTCATCTAGTAGTAGAATTGGAGGCTTTTTGAAAGTTATCTTTGCAAATGCCACTCTGCTTTTCATCAACAAATGTGTTTATGTCAGTTTCCTTGAAATAGTACCGCAGACACCACAAGATACTACTAAGCACACCTTGATGGTGATATCTAACCCTACCATTATTTGTTTTGTATTACATCAAGATGAGTAAAGTCCTGCAGAAGATATAAGTAAATTGTATCATTCATACCATGGAGAGTGAATGTGTATCAAGTTCCCAACTTCAAGCTCGACATTGTCACACACCCTTGAACTAAAAATGATTGTCAAGGTCCTCCCTCTATTTTCCTTTGCCATTTGGGGGGTCCTGCCCATTCAGAACTCTGCAGAAGCAAGTATGCATATCTATCATCATTCTAGCACAATCATAGACAAACATGCATATAATCTATTTAAGAAAATGATGCTATTTCACATCAATTTTATTCATAATCAACATAGTAGCTATGTAGCTATCTATTTAATTAATTTCATGAGACAAATAGAGATTGGCATAAGTACAAAAGATTCACCAACTTAACTCCTAAAAATCAATTAGAACCATTAAACTTTGCAATCCCTGGTTCCACAAAGCAGATTTTGAACTCTACTAGTACTACTCTATTCCAAATACATGTCTAAACAAAATAAATAACTACTGATCACTCAAGAGATTGACAAATATTTACTACCACTATCCCATTTTTTTCTAAAATCAAGTGCAAGAGATTAATGCATAAAATACTTGAAATTATTGTGATGTAATAGTTCAAAATTTATCATCAAATTACAACATCAACATATTGAGTTTACAGAATTATTTTAATGCTATTAAAACCTGCAACAGATAGGTAATTAGTGCAATTTACAAGCAGATAGTGAATTGTTACCACAGCCCTAACAACAATGCTATTAAGAAAAGTAACCACAATCTATTAGTGACATCACCTCTTGGATTTAATAAATCATGAAATGAGGGTACTTCTACAATTTTCTGTCTGAAACATCCAAAAGAAGAGAGAAATACAAGACATCATGAAAATCCTACCTGTAAACTTACAAACTCAAAACCTCATTGTTTTCTATTTTTTTTCATTTTCTATAGAAAGCTACTCTTCTGTTTATGCAGGTTTTTGGAGTCCACTTAAATTATGAGAGACGACATTTAAAAAATAAATCTTTCTTACTAGCCTTCATTCCAGCAAGAGCTGGTCCTCGACTATTCTTTGAAAAGCTTGTCCATGCCTGCAAGGTTCTCGTTGTTCATTCTTTAAGAACCCCACTTTTATACCTAGTAAACCATATGGCCCCTTTGACTGTTCATCACTGCAAAAAAGAAACCTAGTCATACACGAGTGTAAATGATCTGAAATCCAACAAATGTCATAATCACAAGCACATTTGGCATTTTCTCAAAACAAAAAACAACATATTAAGGAAGAATGACAAAGCAAACAAAAGAAGAAATTGAACAGGTTTACAAGCAAATAAATACCAATAGCAGGTTCACAGGTCATACATACAAAGCTCAGAAACAGGTGAAAACAATACTGAAACATGTCAAAACCCGTATTTCCTATAGTGAGATAATGTAAAATTACAGTACTGAAAGAAAACAGGCACGAGAAGAAAAACTTAAAACATGTCAAATATAAATATGTAAATATTGTGCTTTGTAAAACCCCAAGTAATAGAAAACAGGCACAACAAATACTAAATGGAATCAACAAAAGCCTAAAGCTCATCTTTAAAGAGAATTCACCCAAAAACAGTCATAAAATAAAATAAAAAATCATAACAAGTTCAAATCCTGATTAAAACTGTAGTTTCTTGCTTACAATTTCAATTTCAATAACCAAACTGAGAGAGACGGGAAGGAAGAGCTTGAGAGAGAGAGAGAGAGAGAGAGAAATCGATACCTCGCTGGTGCAAATGGTGGTGGCGGTGGCAGTGGCGATGGAGCTTCGAAATCGAGAGAGAGAACTTCAAAATCGAAATCGCTCTGAGATAAAATCACTGAGACCGATCTGAATCTTTGAATCTCAAAGATGAATCTCTGAGAATGATAAGGGTTTAGAGAGGGTTGACCGAGAGAGAAAGATATCTAGAGAAAGATAGAGAGAGAGAGAGAGAGAGACGGTGGAGCTCACCTTAGTAACGATGGTGCTCGCTACCTCGCTGGTGGTGATGGTGGAGCTTCGAAATCGAAATCGCTCTGAATCTCATAGATGAATCTGTGAGAATGATAAGGGTTTAGGGAGGGTTGAGAGAGGCGAGATTTGAAGGCATGAGAATGATAAGGGTTTACAAAGGCTTTGACCATTATTCACAGACTCAAAATAGGCGCGTGGGGCCTAACGCATTTGGAGGGGCTTTTAAACGCCTCTTATTACAAAACGGTATCGTTTTAATTGAAGAAATATGCGACGTTTTTAAAACGTTGCTACATGTTAAAAAAAGTGACGTTTCAAAAAGCGTCGTTAAAAAAACGCCACCAAAACCCATATTTCCTGTAGTGAATCCTCTTGGTCTCTACCAATCATAAAACATTATAATAAATCAAGAAGAAGGTCCAACCAGAACAACCATGCACTCAGCTTTATTTTATAAGTTCAATTATTGGCTTCTAACTATAAGTTCACCTATGCATGAAATTATTTTCTAGAGTCCATCAAGCATATCAGCTATTACCAAGAATTAGATAAAACATTTCCTCTCCATTTTTTTGAGAAAGTGAAACTTACTTGTATAGATAGGCAGCAATCCCAAGAATTATGCACAACAATATAATATCAATACAGAAATTTCGACTGGACCTCAGCTGAAACAAATCAAAACTTTCTGTCAAATCCAGCAAAGAGATCTACGACATAGCATAGCTGAATCTCTCTCTCTCTCTCTCTCTCTCTGCAACACACAAAGTGATGCAAACTACAGAAAATACAGTGGCAGCTCAATCACCTGGTTAACAGTATCCTTAAGTCTCACATTGATGTTCTTAAGGTCAGATGCCGCATTGTCGACCTGTAGGATGTGAAGAAATACACCATTAATAATTTAAGAATAATTGTAGCTTCAAATATTACCAGGACTGGATGTGTTCTCAAATCTTAGTGTCAGTCTCGTCCATTAAAGGAACTTGCCTATCCATTTCCTTGAATTGCGAAGTCATAAATTGATGTGCACAAAATGGGACAAAGCAACAAATACAAATGCATGAGGCAGTAGCAGATTTGCTTGCTTACCATACCATAGGAGAAACACCCAAATGCAGATTTTATAGCAGTCCCAGCTACTTTTATTTTGCATTAGTTTAATTAATAAAAATTTCAAAGTGGTATAATATAGTCTGTTATGCAATCTTTTTAAGTTTCACATAAATGATAATATCTTACATGAGAAAATGGATGCATGTAAATGAGCTGCCCCAATTGTCCAACCATTACCTGAGAAAATCAATGAACAACTGACAATGAAACAGTAAAAACATCTCTCAATCCTGTTGCACAACACAAAAATAACCACTAGGAAGAAAATTGCAGCAGAGATGGCCAAGTAAAATCACACTACTTACATTTTGGGTATTCAGTTGTATGTAGGCAGGCCCTGCTTGGAGAATGATGATGCTGGCCATCATATCTAACTGGCCGTGTCTTGTTTCCGATATGTCCAATAATCTGTACCTACTCAACAACATCCAACAAATTACCTAAAACTGAACTAGTTATTTGCAAAAACAGTACCAAGATGAGAGGTGAATACAGAGAAATCAATATTTGAAATACCCAGAAACTGAACTAGTTAGGCATTTAAACATGGATGTTGTTATGTGGCTATAAATGTTCTCATTTAAACATGGATGTTGTTATGGGCTTCCATTTAAGTTTAGTTGAAAATCTACTCATCATGGTTGCAACCTCATCAAAGATCAGAGATTGGTTTTTTTAGTCCTTCCACAAATCATGCCTAAATTGAACAATAACTATTTATTCCAAAAGATCTCCTCCCACTTCCATTAACAACCACCCCTATTTCACACAAGCCCCTCAGTCATCAGTCTTCTCTAGTCTCTCTCTCTCTCTCTCCCTCTCTCTCTCTCTCTCTCTCTCTCTCTCTCTCACATACAAGAATGCGAAGGTGATTACATGGTGGCAGGAGGATTTTGCTGTGTTTGTTGTTGCCGCAGAATCCCTTGTACTTTGCCATCAAAGCCCTAGGTCCGAGCGCTCTCTCTCTCTCTCTCTCTCTCCCCTAAAATCGTGCGCGCGCGCGTGCGCGCGCATGTGTGTAGCATTAATTTAATACACACTGCTGGAAATTGAGCTTTTAGTGGCGTTTAAAAAATGCCGCCATAGGTATCAAAAACGCCGCTAATTGTTTTTGTGACGTTTAGTACCAAACGCCGAAGATGCGGCCGTCGCTGTAACTTTATGACGCTTTAAAAGCGTCGCTATATAAGTATATGCGGCGTTTTTTAAAACGCTGCTAAATGTGCTTCATAATGATACAATGACGTCACTCCACATTTAGCAACGTTTTAAAAATGCCATGATAGATCTTTTCTATTTTAAAAATATAACCATGGTATTCTATAGTGGCGTTTAAAAACGCCGTTATAGCTTCATTTTATTATATATAAAAAAAAATTGTGCTAATTCTGTGAGATTTAACTAAAAAAATACATTTTATAAAGACGAAAAATATACAATATATTGACTAAATTTAGGTAAACATAATACTAGATCAATTCATGCTTCTGAATATGCAAAAATATTTCAATTCGAAGATGAAATAAAGTTAAACTAGTGCCTAGTGGTAAGTTGAAAATTATTACAAATCAAATCGGCACAAAAGATGCAATTCAAACTAATTATACATACAAGTACTATGAAAGCATCTACTAAGAAACAAAAATTCTCGGGTTCTATAAGGAAGATGATGGTCCTCTGTTCACATCTCAGCATTGTTGACACATCTTGTGCTGTCACCTGCCAAGCATTCACCAAAATAGGTGTTAACAAGGACAAATTCAGAGCAGTAAATCCCATTATTGCAATCCCTTAAGGTGCTTATGATCCCATGGAAAGAATATGTTTTAGAAATGTAGTATGTAGGTCTTGTATTTGAACTTCATTAGGTACCCCAAAGTACATCATTAGTAGTCATCAACTATGATAAAAACAAAAAAATAAAACAAAACTCGATAATTCTCTACTTAATGTCACTCAATGATTGTAGGGAGAGCCATCTGCAGAATAAATTAAACATTATTGGAGATCAAGCGGGAACAATTTGTAGATTATGCATTTCTGCCAAATTGGGGTCATTTGACCATGTCTAGACCAAAAATGTGAAACTAAAAGTACTTTTCTCCAAAAGAATATTCTCCATAATTTCAAAAGAACACCTACTATACGATTACAATAATAATGATGATAAATTCACCCACCCTAGATTGAAGCATTGTAGAAATCTAGATGTGCAATAAAAATTGCGAAAGAAAACTGACATAGGAGTCATGCACAATATATTGATCTTGCCAAATAATATGGATATTACCTCCACTTCTCCGGAAGTATATTCTGGATCCAAATTTGAAAGGTGGACAAGTGTTCCTTGCTCATGTGCACTCTTCAATCTTTCCTCCCAAGGCTGAATAGTGACAGAAAGAAAAAAGAAAATGGAATAAATCACAACCACATGCTCACAATATAAAATAAACTAACAATGGAATAAATTGACTTTAATTCCTACAAGTTAGCGCAAGTACAGAAATTTTTTTGTAGATGCTGGAGCTAACAAAAAAATTGTGATAAACAAAAACCAAAAAAAAAAAAACCTAGAAATAAAAATAATGGGAAGCTTCTAGATAGGCCTACAATCTTAGAGGTTATGAACAATTATTAGAACAATTATTATGTTCTAATAAAAAACCAAAATGCAGAACTCTTCAATGCACTAATTTTCAAAAGCGGTATAAAGCAGCATGGCTCGTATGTTCAAAGAACCGCATGCAATTAGAAGTTGGTCTAAGCAGTTAAATGGGCTGACAGAGTCCCTACATTACCTTATTTTATTAGAACATACAAGTATAAGGGAGGCCATAGCAAAAAAACTAAAAAGCATCAGATGAAAACAAAAGGCTCAAGTATGTTCCTTTCAGGATTGTGAATGGCAATGGGTGGATTTCAAAAACTTGGAAGAAGGGAGAGGATGAAGGAATAGCCTGACTTTGACATGATTAAAAGGCAACATAGCATCATATTAACATTAACACATTTCAGGTTTCAAAATATACCACCCCAACCTCCATCTAATCCAGATATAGTTAATCATAAGTGACTACATAATTCTTATTTAAGCATGTAATATGTATATACAAGAAATAGTACTAAAGTGATAGAGAAATGTATAGTTAATCACATTTCAGCTTATCTGTTATGATACAGGGGCAACAAAGAAATGTTTGGTAAGTCATTTGTGCAACAAAAAGAAGACCTCATAACCCAGAAACTGTGAGAAAGTGTCTAAAAAAGCATATTTAATTAAAGATTTCATTGCTCTATATAAATCTTATGACTTATTATATAAATATAATCAATTTTAGTTGGGAATCCGAAAACAATATCACAAATGGCTCAATAGAAAACACATCTGAAAACGAAATCATAAACAAAACAATCCAATAAGAAATCGTATCAAAATCACCAAAAAAATACCCATGGTGGTGATTTTGTGCTCGAACTGACTGATGAGAGGATAAGAAGCCATCTTTCTATCATGTCAAGAATGGCATCAACTGCCATTTGTTTTGACAAATAAACCCTCAAAACTATAAGCTCATAGAACATCACCCCAGGACATTACGTCCTCATATTGAAGGACATTACATTTTGCACATAGTTTTTATACCGGAATATTAGGAAGTCTTCCCAATCGAAAGAACATATTTTAGCACAACATAACCAAGCCTATGTCTAGAAAATAATCTTGGCCAAATGTTAAGCACCAGATAGATATAGTAGATTTTGACAACTAGCAGCACATTAAGGATGGATATACTTGATAATAACTTTACTACAATTGAAAAAGGATGTATTACAAAAACAAAAGTAATAAAGTTGCAATGACATGATATTTAATAAATCAACAAAACAAGAATAAGGTTCTTGTGCTTGAATCTATAGAAACACTAATAAAGTTGAAGGAGAAGAGAATGATATAGGAAATGATTGAACTTTTACATTGGAAAGTCCAAGCTCTATCTCTTCCTACAAATCATTCAATATAGAAATCAGAACCCGGGTTTTTTTACCTAACCATAATTTTTAGAATA